GGTGTCACCAAAGCCGTCAGGGATCACCCCGCTCACAGAAAACAAGGCCGGCTTCCCCACGCCTACAGCAAGGTGTTCTTGAAAGAGAAATTGTGATCCATTCGAGTCCACCTCGATTCGAAGAAACGATTTGAAGAAACGGGACTACTTCTCGAAAGAGCGGTCTTTCGAACGAATTTTTCGAAAGCGCTAATCTTCAACTTACAATTATCCTTTAAAATCTGCAAAAAGTTAATTATGAAGCGAAGTTATGAATGTTTGAATGTCTGAAAACTCGCGTGTGCACGAAAAACGGAACAACGGGACGATTTTTTGAAGAACTGAACATTCGCAACATTTCAAAAAAGGAAACGATTTAACAATTTTTTTTCGAATTTTGAATCACGCCCCGAGGGAAGGCCGTCTTGCACATTCGCAATGAACATCAAGCCTCTGTAAATTTTGTGGTCTATCAATACTCAGACCACGTCGCTTCTGATACGAAGAAAGCCATGAATAGAAATATGATGCGCACGGCCATCAGCGCGGCGTAAAGCGGAGAGAAGGACAAATCGTTCAAAGGTACGTCACATCGCACAGGCGAACGACTAACCCACACCGGGAGTTCCGTCAAAAACAGGCGATGAGTGGTTGCAGCTTACCGTCGTGAAGAAACACAGACAAACGTACTCTCATGGTTCTACTTATACCGAACTGTGTGGCCATATGCTCATGCGTAAGGGCCGCTCTTCAAGATTGGGTGAGGGTGGTGGACATTCCATCCACAAACCTCAAAGGTACAATTCAGTCCGAAATCGTCCATATGATCGCCTTATGGAACCCCTTGCTGTATAGTACGCTAATTCGGCAGGAACGGCAGCCGCATGACATCAGGTGTAGTGTACCTAATTTCGTGTCCTTCTTGCAAGGAACAGTATCACCTGTATCACCTGTCGTCCCGTTGATCATCGATTTGCTCGAGCGGGCGCCAGCAACGTCTCCATTCGTCCCTGTCGCGTGCAAGAGTTGTCCAGTGGATCCTCCTCGCTCGAGGGACACGAGTCCTTCATTCCTTTCGTTCAGAGCTTTCGTGAAGAAGTCTGACCATCGGGCCGGCGGTCGTCCAGGTGTTCGTTTGACGTCCCGAGGGATCCAGTCGGTAACCGCTCTGGTCCAACGGTCATCGCAAAATCGCATGACGTGTCCGGCCCACCTTATCTTCGATTCCTTGGCGAAAACGGCAGCGTCCCTGATCTTCGATCGTTGGCGTAGTTCGGAACTCCGGATTCCCCTCTGCACTTGCGTGTATAGGGTTACTCCTAGCATCGTCCTCTCGACAGCGCGTTGGATAACGCTGACCGCATGCTCGTCCTGCCTGCGCAGAGTCCAAGTCTCTGAGGCGTAGGTTAGGGCAGGAAGGACAGCGGAATCGAAGAGGTGGGCACGGAGCCGGATGTT